TGTCGCTGCGGCTGCCTGGGTGCTGCAGGTCAGATGGTGCTGGTGAGGTTTCTACCTCCTTTAATGCAAGCAGCGGGGACCCGTGCTCCTGGGCACCCTCGCAGCCCTCGCCAGGCAAGCAAAGACTCAGGGGTGCTTGTCACTGTTTCTTTGTCCTGCCTCATGGAGGGCAGCTGAACATCATGAGCTGGTAAAGCCTGTGATGAGTTTTCCTGGGTCCTCAGTCTCTTTCTGAGCATTTCTGCTGCAGCACAGAGGAGGCAGCCAAGGTGACAGGAGAACTGAGGGTCATACTGCTGGCCACAGTGGTGGGCCCCTGCCCTGCTCCAGCAGGAAGGGTCATGGCACCAAGCCTGGCCTTGGTGCTGCAGTCACTGTCCCAGCATTCACCAACGGTAGCCATGTAACGAGCCGGCTGGATTGGCTCATTGCAGCAGATGAGGCACACGGGATTGGCAGGTGTCACGCTGCCTGAGGAGCACCAGCTTTCCCTGTTCCCAGCACGAAGGAGCTGTGCGTTTCCTCTTCCAGAGTCAGCGATGGGGAAACAAAACAGTAAGCTGGCGCCGGAGATGCTGGACGACCTGGTGAGGAGCACAGAGTTCAGCGAGCAGGAGCTGAAGCAGTGGTACAAAGGCTTCCTGAAGGACTGTCCCACTGGCATCCTCAACCTGGAGGAGTTCCAGCAGCTCTACATCAAGGTGGGCCTCGCCATGGGACGGGGCCTGTGGTCCCAATGCAGTTCCCAGGGATGGCAGCCAGTCCCTAGCCCTGTGGTTATGGCATTGCTGAGCTCCTGGGCCAGCGGGCTGCTTCAGGGCACTGCTGCCCTGAGGATGTGATGTCTATCCTCCACGATGAGCTCCCCTCCCTGTTTAGATCTCTCTCTTCTCTCCTCCCTGCAGTTTTTCCCCTACGGAGACGCTTCTAAGTTCGCCCAGCATGCTTTCCGCACCTTCGACAAGAACGGTGACGGGACCATTGACTTCCGGGAGTTCATCTGTGCCCTGTCTGTCACCTCCAGGGGGACCTTTGAGCAGAAACTCAACTGGGCCTTCGAAATGTACGACCTGGATGGAGATGGGAAGATCACGCGGTTGGAGATGCTGGAGATCATTGAGGTACTGGTGATGTGGGGCTATATGTGGTGGCGGGCTCAACTCTGACTGATGCTGGGCGAGGGTGGGTGAACCTGGAAAAACGGCCAAGCAGCTTGCTTTGGCCTGCTGCTGGGTTTTTGGTGTTTTTGCAGATGCTTGAAGTCCAGGGCTTAAAACCAGCAGGGTTAACCTGCTTTCTCCAGGCTTTTAGAAATATTGGGCCCCTTCTGGTGTCACAGAGTGGGCTTCTCTGGCCACAGCCTTGGCTGAAAAGAGCCCTGAGGGTGCACATGGGTGTAGCTGTGCAGAAGCACAGTTCATGCCAGTGATGAGTGGATCGCAGTAGAGGTAGGGATCCTGTGTCTGCCTTGTCATGGGACCTTCTGCCCATCCAATGCTCCAGCTCTGGCACTTTGCACCTCTTCTGCTGCAGGCCATCTACAAGATGGTGGGGACTGTGATCATGATGAGGATGAACCAAGATGGGCTGACTCCCCAGCAGCGTGTTGACAAGATCTTCACGAAGATGGACAAGGACAAAGATGACCAAATCTCCCTGGAAGAGTTCAAGGAGGCAGCGAAGAGCGATCCCTCCATCGTCCTCCTCCTGCAGTGTGACATGCAGAAATAGAGCCCAGGATGGCTTACCGCTGGACTGGTTGAAGCCAACCTCTGCCCCCCATGATGGTTTCCACCCCCGTTGCCTAATCCCCCATCCCTGCCACACGCACGCTGCTTCCCAGAGCTGTACTCGGTGCCTGGGGGCACAGATCTGCTGGGGAAAGTGTTTTCCCCGCTCCGCTGAGTCCCCCTGCGTTTCTTAGCCCCAGATGTGAGCCATGCTCCCATCCGCCCTGCTAGCCCTCCGCCTCGTTCCTTGCTGCATCCTGGGCACGGTCTGGCTGGTCCGGGGACGGCAGTTCTCCCTCAGCTGGTACCACCTACTCCAGATGCTGCTGGCTTCAGCTTGCCGCACAAATCAGCCCTCTCCGGCCTGGCGCTGGCCTCTCCGCAGCAGTGCTCCCCGACAGCTGCCGGGAGCGTCCCAGCTCCCCCAAGGTGACACGCTTAAGGCAAACTGCTCCAGCATCCCAGCTGCTCGCTCCGTGCTCCCTCTGCTCTCCCCCACGGCTCCGCTTGGCCCATTGCCTCATCCTAAGCTTAAACCAGCTTTTTTTTTGCTTTCCACTCACCCTGATGGCTTGTGATACCTCCAGGAAGGCTGAAAGGCCCCAAGTCCTGGCCCCAGCGTTTCCTTTGCTGGTGATTCCCCGTGAGGCCGCACGGAGCAGCCAGAGCTGGCACTGGGAGCCCTGGCGGGGTGCTGCACCCTCGCCGCGGCTCACTGCCCGGCTTTTGCCTTCCAGCCTTGGCCCTTGCTGCCGGGAGCGGCTCTGAGGGGCTGTGCATTAGTGCCAGCCTCTGTTTTAAGCTGCCCTGGCAGCATTTTGGATGCCTGCAGAGTCTGCCCTTCCTGATGACTGAGGAAGGGGAGAAGCCTAGGGCCCCGCACCCAGGAAAGGGGCGGCCTTGATTCCCCG